TCTGGGGACTAGCAGACTTGAAAACCAGGTACATTTATAATTGACAGCTATACTTGGGCTGCAAAACAGCTTAGGTACCAAGGACATTTTGTATTGCCCACAAAGTTGTCTTCCCTGTCAGAGAATATACAAAGCAGGGGACATGTAATTTACATGGACAATTTTTTGTTTTTTTCATCCCCTGAATTGTTTCACTACCTAGCCCAACATGGAATAGGAGCTTGTGGTACACTACGTTTGTGCAAAATGAAATAAAGTAGCAAAGCCACAACCAGGCGAGTCCCCCCCCTCCCCCAATCCCGCACAGACACATTTTATATATTTCCTAATATGACGGAAGGCCAGTAAATTTGATGACAACTGCCCACACTGCTGAGACCTTTGGGAAAGAAGTATGGTCAAAACAACATAAAAATCATACCAGGATTGTGTACAAGCCTCCTGCTGTTGCAGGCCTACTCTCAGCACTTTCTTTTTTATTGAACTCTTCTTCTGCATTGCCCTGGAAAGCAAAGTCAGCCTGCTGAGTCAATGCTGAAAAGTTCAGGCTGGGCATTGTACATTTTCTGATGGAAGGCTATGACTCCGGTATGTCAAACAGGAGAGGTAGAAGGACCGAACATCCCCTGAGAAAAGCTGGTGTTAACAGAACACAAATTTGTGATCAAACCCAAATGACTGTGAAGGGCCATCTTGCCCAAACAGAGAGAAGCACCACCACCACCAGGCCCAGTTTGTGTGCAGAAAGTATGATGTGCCACTCTGCCCATACTCCTGCTTCCAGAGGTTCCACAGTCTGATAGACTGCAAGGTAGACTGTACCCCAGAACTCCAAGCAATAAATGCTAAAGTATGTGAAATTATTAATGTATTTATTTTTTGTTTTTTATTTTGTGCTTCAATTTTGAAACATGCATACAAAATATAATGCTAAATAAATAATATTACTCATCCATTCTTTTATTAGTATACAAAAAATGAGATCTATACACATAATACAAAGAAAGTTATAGAAATTTAAAAAAAAAGATAGGCGCTCATGTATTTTGTGACATCAACAAGAATTCAGTGGCAGGGAGAAAAATTCTACAAAGAATTTGGTGTGGTAAATGTTAAATTTCTATAGTGACATTTTGCTCTTTTAAATCTTGGAACAGGAATTCAAAGTTGGGAATTCTCCTGGCAACAGGTCACTCTGGGTTTTGGTAGTAGCTCATCTGTTCTTCTCTCTAACTCTGTGAGTCACCAACGTAATCTGCTTGTGTTGAGTCCAGCCCAAGACTGGTTTGGGTTCAAACTGTTCTGGGGTCTTTGGTAATTAACTTTCAGATTTAGTTCCAATATTGCCTGCCTTTATAACTCCTACTTATACCCCTCACCATTACTTTCAAATGTACAGAGGCAAATTTTCTCTTTTTCCTTTGCTCTCTCGATATTCCATCTGAGATCATCCCCACGGAAGTTTTGACTGTCTTTTTGACAATTCTAATTTTAAAACAAGTGGGTGAAGAGGCAGTCTTATTTAAATCATTGATTTTTTTGATAAATATTACTTCCCAGCCTTTGGTCTGGTTTGTTCTAGTACACCCCCAACCAGTCATTTCATTTCCACAGCCTCAGGTTATCATGCAGACCTTCTAGGTGTGTTTTACATTTTAATTTCTTATTCAAATAACAGATTAAGTTTTGTCTTCCCGAGTTGTTTATATTTCCACAATCATATTTCAGTTGGCCCCTTGGCCTGGCCTGCCAATCACAACTTTTGTTGGCAGTCATAAAATATAAAAAAATTATTTCCCAATTCTATTTTTAATTCCTACAGTGAATAATACAGAATATATCGTAGCAATTTCAGTTCACATTTTTACATTAACCCCTTTAATTCCACCAGTGTGACATCCCTACCTTTCCCTTTTCTGTCATTTACCTTGAACTCGCCTTCCTTATGGTGAATTATATAAAAATAAGATAACAAAACATAAAAAAGTGGGTTTTTTGGGGGGTTTTTTCCATGCAACATTCTTTCTCACTATGCATGCAGTGGAATAAAAGTCTTCTCTTCAAGTTCATAAGCATGCATATTCATATTTATTGGCTTACATCACCCCTTACAATTTAATCATTTGATTTGTTTTATGGTTTGTTCCTCTTGGTTGTCTTTCCTCTCCACAATAGTCCCCCGCCTCCTTGACAGATGTCAATTCTGCTTATAGTTCCTCCACCGAGTTCTATCTCTGTCTCTTCCTCCTCCAAAGTCGATCTGCTTTGGTAAAGAACACTAATTAGTGTCCCTTTCTCATTTTCATGCACACTTGCCAATACTTGGAGATTAGTTGATTTTCTCCTATGCTTCTTCAACTTCCACGTTATTGTCATTATAGTAACAATAACTCCTAAGGTACCTAACACAGCAGACCAGTTCATTCTGGTCTCTGAATTCTCTCTCCAAACTATTCTTTTTACCCATGGCACTCAATTTGTCTTTTACTTAGTCCAGACTATTCTCTCTACAGACTTTAATAATTTTGGCATCTCCTTTAATGTAATTCCATGAAAATTTCTCTGCCACTGGTTCCCATAATTCTGTCTAATTATTCAGACCCATTTCGATCAACTTTACCAATGAATCTTTTTCCTCATATTTCTCTTCTTTGGCTTGATAATATGGAGGAAGGGAGACAGACATCCCAAACGCTGAACATCCCAGAGGTAACTCTATTGAAGTCAGTGGGGGATTTATCTTTATTGCTCCCTTGGGTCTCTCCCCAAACATACTCTTGAGAGATAAATCTGAGTCTAGGTGGCCACTACCCAAACTCTATCAGGAATACTGATACCTTGTGATAATACTGCATTTGTCAATATCCCATCTTGACAATTTTCCTCAATTCCTTTATCTCCCTTAAACAATTCAAGCACACACAACCTGTGATTCCCTGTCACATAAACAGGACTCAATGAAATAACTCCATAAGGTATACAAATGCAGCTTTTTCCCAGTTGGCCTTATCAAGGGTCAACTGCCAATAGCCTGATCTCAAATCTATCATTGAAAAATACTTAGCCTTTCTATTGTTGAGGCTCAGAATTAACACTAAAGAAATGCAGGAAAATCAAAAAGTGTCCTACTCATAACTTGTCTTGTGGTCGCTGCAACTTGATAAAAACATTTGTGGAGTTTTTAGAACCTTATAGTCAAAATGAATAAAGTCCATTGGTTCTACTCCTTCAATGAATTTCCCTTTTTCCTTATTCTTTCCCTTCTCAGTTTGGTTGCACTGTTCTGTATCCTTTGGTTAACATTCTAAGTTTCTGCTGGCTTCCCCCTATAATGTCACAAGTTGATCCTTTGGTCACAGCAACCAACTATAACATTACATGTTGAACCTGTCACTAGCAACCAATTATAACATGCACGCCCAAGTCGATCCTGGGTTAACCCTACACTGGTCAGTACTGTCATCAGTCAACTGGCTGTTGATTGCTGGCCCTTTTGATCCATACCGTCTCTGCCCATATTGTGTTTTTTGATCTCAGCAGTGAAGGTCAAATGTCGTCAGTAATTTGGAGCTGAGGATTTGTCGGGCTAGTTTTAAATTGGTTTATATAGTTCTTGGTACAAAAATCAACCGTTCCCTTTTTAAATTTCTATAGTGACACTTTGCTTTTTTTAAATCTTGGAACAGGGTTCAAAGTTGGAATTCTCCCAGCAACAGGTCACCGGGATATTGGTAGCAGCTTATCTGCTCTTCTTTCTACCTCTCTGAAGAACTCTGTGAGTCACCAACATGATCTGCTTATATCAAGTCCAGCCCAAGTTTGATGTGGGTTTGAACTGATCTGGGGTTTTCAGTAACTCCTTAACTTTCAAATTTAGTTGCAGTATCACCCCGCCTTTATAGCCCATGCTTCCTCTTATTTATGTCTCTCGCTATTACTTCCAAATGGGTGAAGGCAAATTTTCCCCATTTCTCCTCCTCTCGATATTCCATCTGAGACCATCCCCATGGGGAAGTTTTGACTGTCTTTTTTTGACAACTCTAGTTTTAAACTGAGTGGGTGAAGAGGTGGTCTTATTTTAATCATTGATTTTCCATAACAAATATTACCTCCCAGCCTTTGGTCTGGTTTGTTCTAGTACACCCCTAACCAGTCATCTTGTTTCCACAGCCTCAGGTTATCATGCAGACCTTCCAAGTGTGTTTCTCATTTCAATTTCCTATTCAGGCAACAGATTGTTTTATCTTCCCAAGTTGTTTATAGTCCTACAATTATATTTCAGTTGGCCCCTTGCAACTTTCACTTTTATTGGTGGCCATAAACAAATATTATTTCCCAATTCTGTTTTTAATTCCTATGGTTAGTGAATAACACAGAATATATTGTAACAATTTCAGCTCACATTTTTACATTAACCCGTTTTAATTCCACCATTGTCACATAGTGTCACAGTATACTTTGTTTTTTATCTGTGTGCATCTAAAGTTGTATGGCTACAGAGAGGTGAAATAAACTAATTATTAACAATAAGACTTTACAAAAACAAGCAATTTTAATTTTGAGTTGAATTTCTTTATTATTTACTGTGTAAACAGGGGCATTTTGGGATATCAATGCATTACACTTTCTCTGACGAAATCAATTGCTAGGTCTTTTGCTAGGAAATTTGTTTTACTGTGACACCACTTACCTGATGAATATTCATGAACACTCCTATACCAAAAACTTTGAAAAACTAATAACATTTTTGCTCTTGTATATAAATATAAATACTTGTCACAAAATAAATCTTTACATTTACCTTGATAAAATCCCCCAATAGGGCAAAACATGTCAGCTAAGTTTTCCTTTTGTCTTTATTCATATTGTCCTTTTACAGATATACTCTGTCTGAAATGCTTGCACATACATTTGTGACCCACCCTTGTGTGTGTACACACACTTGCTCTCATTTTGTCATAAGTATTGTTTGAAAGTAAAGTTTGTCACTGTTTTTTCAGGATATCCGTGATGAGATAGAAAATGCTACTAAGAAAGAACTCAGCATGGAAGACATGGAACAAGATGATTCAAGTTATGTGTATGAAGATCGATTACAGAAAAAATTTGTTAAAGTTTGGGAAAAACTCTGTGAGTTAAAAAGTCAGGACACAAGTACAGGAAGACCTATTGAAAAAAAATTTCGTTTTAATGGTTAGTGAATTTTTTCTCATCTATAACTATTGATTTTCCAATACTTATTGATTTTAAAAAAAAAAAAAATTGGTCTTTAATATTACAAGTCTTAAATAAATTTTTTTTTTTTTTTTTTTTTTTTTACTATCTTTGCCAAATGTTTTTGTCATAATTTTTAATCATTACAGTAGAAATATAGACACATTTGAAACTTTTAAGAGAATATGTTTTTTTAATAATAGGACTTGATTTGAAAATTTAGGCTACACAGGAGAGTTACTCCAATCATATTATTTTATAAAATTAGAATATTTGATAGATACACAAAAGAAATAAAATTGCAAAAGTGATTTAATATCCCAAACCCTTAAAACAACTTTATAGAATAGTGTCTTGGCTAAATGCATTATCAGCCATTTTGCCCATTTCCTTTCTTCACAATATTCACATCAACTCATTCAGTAGTAAATATTTTTGTGAACAGCAAACACAATATCATTTGGCTGTTGAAACAAAATATAAGCAAATATTTACAGCGTAGTTTATGTGATATGTCCCGAAAAGGGATATATTTGTTCGAAGTAGCAAAGTGGTTTTGGGCTACTGTAACCGAGTAGGACAATCTAGCAGGTAACTGTAATGGACTGGTCCTCGTCGGAGTGGTAGGCAATAGGCAAAGACTATAAGCATAGCCAATAGGTGTCGTCAAGAGACGTAGTCCTGAGCCTCCACAACAGTCTCTATTTATGGCTGACCACAGCCAATCATATTACTGTGAGGAGGAACCCAATGTGTATGCATATTCATTACATCATTATGTTATTCTGATATTTAAATGTCTACTTTCAAACATGTTTACCACATTTAAAACTTATATTCAATTTTTCTAATGTGATTAATTCTATTTCAGTAAAGCATAAAAAGGCATACGTATCACTTGAAAAATTTTACAAAGAACACTTGATTATTCAAGAATTGTGAGTGTAACAAAATGCAAAGAAAAAATTTACATGAAAAAAATGGCCACATGATTAGAATGTGGCTCTTTTCTTTCCATTTTTTTTCTTTTTTTTCATGAAAACTTTTTTGTTGTTTCCACTGAGAAGTTGATTCTCGCTATTTTTACATAAAAAAAATATGTAAGTATTTTCTCAATAAGCTTTCTTTTTTTTTATATATATACAGGTACTCGGTATACAGAAGTCAATAAAAGAATTGAGAAGTTTATTAATAAAAAAAAAATATTTCCAGATTATAATGATGTAAAAAAGATTGTTACCCAAGTAAACAGTCATTATAATTTATATTTAGGGTAAGTTTATTTACACTATTCAGTATTTTTGTTTTTACTATATTTACTTAAAGGATGGGTTGAGGTAGAATTAAGCAATGATTTACGACTAGCATTACTCTATTTATAAATTGTTTTTACACACACACATATATATATATATATATATATATATATATATATATATATGTGTGTGTGTCTTATAAGAATTGTTGAAATTTATTTCTGTTAAGAATTAAAACTTTTACAATTTAGGAAATAACTTGAAAACAGTGAAATTATTTCAAATGAACAATGCTGCATTAATTTAACTTTTTTTCCTATAGAGTAGTTTGAGAATATTTGCCTAAATTGTTACTAGCCTGTGTGGATATTGGATAACGTTTTGCCTGTGCAGTTGCTATGAAAATATGATTGTCAGAAAAAAATATTTCGGTATGTTTTGGAATGACTGGTGGGTAGTAATTAAATTAGCACCATTTCTACCATTTATATATTGTACTTGTATTTTATTTTGTCTTGCTATTAGTAATGGTTTCTTGTAGGTATGATAAACCTAGGCTAGAATTTAAGGGCTGAAAATGGATGATGTTTTATTATCTGCTTATATCTGTATCAATTTATTTTATTTTAGAAGATCAGCTATTGATGATTTGGCAAGAGAAGCTTTTACGGACGTTGGTAATCAGCTTCAAGACAGACGACATAAAAATTTTATTTTTACTTTTGGCAACAGTCAAACTGAAGTATGCAGGTTTGTGACACCCACTTTAAAGTCTACATTATTTTATTTTTAACAACTGACTCCCTTGCAATTTTACTAAAGACAAGTTAGTAATTTCTCAGGAGTAACTAACACACACACACACACACACACACACACACACACACACACTCTTATTTGAATAATCAGCATCTGTATCATTGTGGTTCTTGGTTACTCTCCCCCCCACACACACACTGTTAAGATTTTATGGGTATGTATTATATCTGGAGACGCTTAATTTTAATCTCTTAAGACAATATCTCAGATCTTAGGTTTCCATTCTTATGACGACTTTCATTACAGGTTAATTTTTTTTTTCCCCACATTGGTTATGGAACCAAATCTTATAAAACCTAATTGGTGTCAACATTTTCATGCATAACTTTCCTCATTATTTATAACAAAATTACATTTTACTCTTAAAACCACTAAGGTGAACTGCATAAGATTCATGTATTGCCATTAAAAATGCTTAATGGAAAGTTTTTAATGTGTATGATAGTTATCTCCAAAACTTAAATGAGTTTTGGCATATTGAACACTCAATGGGGATTTAACACAGCTCGTTAGTAATAATTTAACTCATTAATTATTCCCTGACCCCCTCCCAACCAGTGTGGTATGGATTTTAATTGATCACAAAGTTTCTCAATGTGGACCATTAGATGGGGGGGGGTGAGGAGGCACAGAAAATTTAGGACCCACAAAATATATATGTGGAGTATTTTGTAATTAATAATTATTATTTAAAATAACATGTTAAATTTATTATTAAGTTAAATATTAAATTAATCTGAGCCATTTTGTTAACATAAATATTTAGTTATTGTAATTTTTTCATCTCTTCTATGCAAAATGTCTATTTTTAGTTTTCAATTTCTTAATTTTTAAAACTCATAATTTAAAGTTTAAATTAAGCTATGTTTTCACCAACTTTCAATTTTGAACAAAGAGCCTCAAGAAAATAACTCCACCCTATTTTCTTGTAAGGAGACAATGTATTTAACAGGAAACTAAAGCTGTTTTAGTTGAACCTTGGATGACAGGAGTTTGCACAGTTTCCTTCCTTAGCAAATTTATCCAAGCTGTTTGATGATGACTTAGCACTGTACGTTGATCATTTGAAGCAGTTGCATAATTATATGAAAACTTATTCTCTGATCTACTCCAAATGACAGTGCTGCACTGGTTTGTGGATCCCTTCGTTGCTGATGCATCTGAAGTTGATATTACCCTACAAAAAAGTTTTGTTGAACTTCAAAATAACACAGCAGCTCAGGCGAGGTTCAAATGCGGAGGATACCAGAAGCTGTGGGTGAATGAAGACATGCATAAGAATTACCCACTACTCTGGAAAGATGTGAAGTTGATCTTACTTGCTTTTCCCACATCTTACATGATTAAGTTTGGTTTCAGTCGGATGATGCATCTGCTGTCAAAGACTCAAAATTGCCTTGACGTAGAAAAAAAGAGGTGATTTATATCTCTCTCTGATGGCTTTCAAGCCAAACCATGACCCTTTGGCAGCCCTGCACCAGTCACAGGGATCCCATTGATGGTACATGTATTTTTTGTTTTGTAAATAAGTTTATTCAAATAAAATATTTATCCAAATATTCTTTGATTTACAACTGAAGTTAGTGTTTTGAAGCCATAGTATTATCCAAACTACAACCTTTTAATATTCCTGCTTCTATAGATTTATTAAGTTGAGGGACAAGGTGGATAAGAAATGAAGTTGGGATTTGGGGGTCATAAAGAACTTGAATTGAAGTGGAGCCATGACTAGAATAAGGTTAAGAAACATTGGGATATCATCCCAAAATAATGGCAGCTGCTGTTAATTGGATGACGGAATACTGACGTTTGGATAGATATTTTCTTGATTTCATTATTTGATTGATCACCAATGGTTCATTCGCTGAAAAATTAACTTTTTTTTTTTTTTTCTTTTTGTAATTTTTTAATTTTTCTCTTTTATTCCCCAAATCTTTTTTCTTCAGTATTGCAGAAGATCCTGCTTTATATGACACTGAACTTAGAAAAAAACTTGAAGAAAACAGAAAATTGGCAAAGACTCGACTTGATGAGGTTTGTTTTATATATATATATATATTATATATGTGTGTGTGTGTGCATTCAATTGATGTGCTTTCTCATATTTCCTTTTGTATTTTATATAATATTAAGTTGGAAAGAAAAGTTCTAGCATTTTGGTTGAAACACAATTGCATTTAATAAGTTACAAATTGAAGTAAAAAAAAAAAAAATTCCTTTCCTTTTTTTATGACATTTGATAAAGTGGACAAGTTGTTAATGCTTTTCGCATACATTTATTTCTTTGGGTTTTGAGGTACAAAAAAACTAACAAATGTCATTTTTATTATTAACCTCTTCGTAATTGGCATAGAATTTAAAAAAAAAAAAAAAAATTGAGAAAATGCTGTAACTATCGGAAATGGTGATAATCCAACCAGATAAGATCAATCGATGAAGTAGAACTTCCACCTGAGCTTAAATCTCTTTTGCATTGTTATGCAAATTTAACCTGCTTTTTTAATTGATCAGTGAAACTTGCTTTGTCAATAAAGACTGATATAGTGCTTACAATTGACAGTAATTTCTCAGAATTAAATATTTCATTACCTTCTCAGTGTAATCCTCATGTAGGCTTTTTCATTTGTAACCATTTGTCTCTTTTGGTGATTATGATCATAAGGATCATGGAGACTCGTTTTTCTTGTGCTTTTTCTTAAGCTGCGTGCTTGGTATTCTTTAGGGTTAAGAGCTAGATGGCGTGATCATTCAGAACAAACAAAATCTTTGAAAGTAGGACTTCTAATCTAAAATTGGTAAAACACTGACATGATTTTCTGATACTTAAGTTTTTCCATAGACATTTCAAATATACCTCACTACTTCTAAAGCTGGTGATCCCTTTTTGAATGCAATACCTCAAATGTGTTTTGTCTACACTTTTTATGAGGGACATCAATTAAAAAAAAATGATTCAATTTGACATTAATTATTCCTGAAATAAGAAAAGAAAGATCTGAACACTACCTTTTTATGTGTGGTTACATCTTGTATGGATGCATGTCCTGCATAAATGAATAAACAAGTTTAGTTATAGTGGCAAAACATGACAGGAATTTTTTTTTTTTTTTTTTTTTTTTTTTTTCCAAAATCCTTCTATTCTTGGGTTAGATTTCAGTGAACAGTTGTAAACTTCTATTATTTGCTACAATTGAGTCTGGCATAAGGCCAAAATAGTGGAGCATTTCATGGTAAGTACACTAACTGCTACTTTTAAAAGTTCAAGAATTGAATGTGCAAGAGAAGTTTACTGGAAAGAAAGTTGTTTAAAAATTCAAAGAATCATAACTGGACCAATAGAAATTCCATGATATCTGTGTATCCCATTGTTGGTAACCATTTTTTATTGACTTCTCTAACAACATGTTTATCACTATTGGGACTGATGTGTCATCTCGATAGGGTTGATTCAGGTTTCCCAAAATCCTATGATTTGGGGATTGATGGCAAAGTCTAGTTTAAATCCCTCATATATTTTGTGTACCACAGACAAGATTGCATAATTCCTGCCTGTGGTTATGTTAAACTTTTGTCAGTGATTGTCAGAATTCAGGCTAGAATAAAATGCACATGTTGATAATTCTGTTTATTGAGTATAAAGAAAATGAAAACCGGTTGAATAAAATAGCTCTATTAGCTACTGCAAACCAGTACTTCAGAAATTGTGATTTGGAGACTTCTAGTCATAATCATTAAGGTAATAGCTCAACAGTTGACTGGTCTGTATGTTTGCTCAAGCCATTGAAATGTGGTTGTGTCTGACATCTGCTTCCCACTCAGAAAAATGACCACCAAGCAACATGCACGCTGTCATTATATAGGGAAATCTTTTCCAATAACAATGATTAATCGCCTCACTTTACCTAGCCAGGCCCCCCAAAAATGACAATTCACAATTTCATTATTGCCATATTCCCATCAATTGACTAGATGGCTTTTCTTTCTGACAATGATTTTTTTGCCAGAAATCCAAAATAATGGTAATTATAAAAATTGCAGAGAATTGTTGCAGAAAAGGATCTTAGGCAATCCTCCTAGATATCTTTCTGGGTTCTCTGGAAATCAACATAAACAAATCCCAAATCTTGGGGCTTAACACAAGAGAAATGTTTTGTTTCTTTGTAAAAATAATTTAGAACATTATTTTCAGTAACCACACACATTTTATAAAGATAGAGTAGTGTAAATAACTGATTTCTAGTGTCTTGGGTCCCAAGTAATTCTGTCAACATGAATAGTCTTTTTCTTATCAGTAGAAAGTGGATAGGGTTTTACTCAATCTTATTGAATCTTGTCTAGTTAAATCTGAGTTTGATTCTTTTTGGAACTGTTCATTTTATTATTTTAAAACAAATTTTAACACATTTCATTTTTTTATTTTCTTCTCAACCATTCAACCTACTCTTCTGAGAATTTTAATAAGTACTAGACCACCTGTGAACCATTCTGTCAACCTTGTTGTGCTTACTACACTTAGTTTTATGAAGAGTTTGTGAAAGTAGAGATATTTTAAAAATACATTTATTTGCAGTTATTGGAGCTGCTTTCAGTATTAAAAAAAATTGGCTGAAGAAAGTTGAACAATAAGAGAGCTTGGAATGTCAAAATTTGAAATGTTGGGATTTAATACAATAACATAAAATATTGTTGCAGTGCTGCACATAATTCATCCATTTTAGAATAATCAAATGATTTTCATTGAAAGAATAAAATTTCGTAGAAAAGACAACATAGTTTCAACAAATGAACCTTAATTTAATATAAAGACAAGAATACAAGCAATTGGTCATAGATTGAAAATAATGTCTTTTTGTTTGAGTTAATAAAATTCTGAAATAAAATATAAATTCTCTTGGTGTATGCATGTGAGAAACAATGAAATGTTATATGTGTTTGTGTAAGAAAGTCAACACGTGTGTGCGTGGTTCATAGAAAAGAGGATACAAAAGATAGAATTTGTTTCTTATTGTGAATGGTTTTGCTGTAGTCTGAAGCAGTCTCTTTGAAGTTTGTCAGTGCTGTCGCTTTTAGCATAAGGTCATGAAGTTCACAAGTGAGAATGGCATGGACCTTGATGACAGCTGTGTGTATCCTGTTTGGGGCCGGATTTTGTGTGTTTTATACACTTTCTCGGAAGAAAATTGGCTTCATCCCCCCATACGATAATTCTTTTCCCAACTCTCTATATATGACTTGTTTATATCTTTCTTTCCCTGACCCCCACTCTCTATATATGATTTCTGGCAAACACACCTGATACAAAGTTCAGAGTTTTATATAATAGAGTTGGGTCACTGGCAGTTCAGATTATAAAACATTAAAGTTGATTTCAACATTTAAAGTTGTTAGTTTAAAGAAAGTTTAAATAAAAAATACTTGTATTTTTAAATCTTATTCACTTAAAATATTTTTTAAATCAGATTAACTTAAAAATATTTTTTTTTAATATGCAGAAAATATTTTTAAATCATATTCACTTGAAAATATTTTTTAAGTATGGCAAAAAATATTGTTTTTAAAGAAAGCTGAAGTATAAGCAAGTATGCATGCAGAGAGGTGAAAAGATACTTAAATTATTATACAGGCGACATATGCACGATTCACAGACTTTTAGTATTATCCAATTAGTTGTCCTTCCAAATCACCATCCTGTAATTCTATGCATTTAAGCAGGGCCACTACCCTGTTAGACTTGAACTGCCAACCTGGAGATAGGCCATGGGTCTACTATTAGACTATATACTGAAATGGTAGATATTTATTTACCCCCCCACACTATATACTGAAATGGTAACACTAAAAGTTTTCCAGTCATCCATGTTTATTAAAATTATAACTTCAAAAAAAAACATTGAAATTGATGTGGAACAATCAGCAACCATATTTACTTATCACACAATATAAATATTCTCACTTTTCTTTAAAAACTTAAGTTCTCCTCAGCAATTTTCCTTTTCTTTGACTTTGGCAACATTTTTCTTTTTTGTTTCAATTATATATTGGACGAAAAACATTACTTTCCATTGTTTATATTGTCATTTACCTTGTGCATTCTGTCTACTCCAATATGAGATCAGATTTATTCATCTGAAAGTGACATTTGAGGAAGAAACAAACCAAAATGTGTGTGCATTTCTGCTTGTGTAGACTAAAAGAAAGATCATTGTTAGATTTAGGCCATAGCTAAACAAACCCCTACTCGGTGTCAGAATCTGTAGCGGCTTCAAAAAAATTTCCTTCCAGGAGACTTAGCATAATATTTTCAAAAGAGTCATCAATTTTTGTAAAGTTAAAAGTAAAGTCTAAATCTGGCAACGAGAAAGATGAACAGGAAAAACCTGCTATTGACTTTGTAGAATTTTCTCAGTTGAATAAAATGAAATAAAATATTTAAAAAGTGAATAAACCTGGAAATCAGAAATCACAATAAAATACTTAGCCCAACATTAAGAACAAAATTTTCTCTACTCAATTTTATCAAAAGTTTATCCAATAAACAGTGAAATCTCTTCTCATGTTAGCACAACTTTACTGATGTGATTGTTCTCACTCTACCACTTGGGTCTAACAGCTCACTAGTTTACTTCCTTGTCAAGCAAGAACACGATTCTAGAATTGATTCTTCTCATCTAATAACTTTTAGGACTGCCCAATAGTTTTGCAAAGACATTTCAAAATGTGTCATCCTATATTTGAAGTTGTGTCACTTTCTCTGCATCCTTTAATAGTTTTAGTAAATATATCAGGCTTGAAGAAAACTTAGACATAATTGTAAACTTTTGTCCTTTTTGTTGGATTGAATTTGGAAGAGAATTTCCTTGTTTGATTTTTGATGGACATATATAGCTTAACTAAATCTTGAATAAATGATAGAAATTCCTAATATAGATTCCAAATTGTAACCTGGTTTTAGTTAATGATGTATTTTTTTACCTTGAATTATTTTGCCTATTTTCATTTAGGTGATATCAAAATATGCTAAAAAGCAATACGAGACAAATGCTCAACCAGAAGAAGTTGATGATGATGCACTTGATTCTTCATCTGAAGAGGAAGAAGATGAAACACAAGACATTCCAGAGTTAGATGAAGGTGAGCTTTCAATTTGGATTTCTAAAATGGTAGATATTTTGTTTCTGTGTACTTATTTACTCTCAACAGAATGACATAAGAAAATAATGTACAGAAAATTTCAACAAGTGGAACATGTCACTAACCTAAAATAAATTCTTGGATAATTGTTTGACCCAAAATAATGAAAAACTAATTAAAAAAAAAATACGGATTTTATTGGCAAATTGTTTAATGTTGGGTTTTTTAACCATTGAAATGCATATTCAAAACAGCAATAGAGTGGTGACCAAAGCAATGCTTTTTTTTCTTTTTTTTTTTTTTCTCTCAATTGAATGTCACCAGTTGAATTCTAATTGGCATTCTTTATTTTCTCCAACATGGTTATATCATTGCTCGTGATGTGCAACTATTTATACTTTGGGTTTTAAGGCTGTTTATTCCAAATCCTAACAATTGTTTGATTTTTTGTTTTTTCTCTCTCTCTCTCTCTCTCTCTCTGAAAAAGAAAATTTTCAAACCATTATTTTTAGTAATATATTTCATCTTGAAATCTTATTTTAATCAACACTGTTCAAAAATCTGTGTTCACTTTAATTTTTGCTTTTTATTTTATTGAGGCAGTAATGGCATTAAGTGATGGCGATGACGATGAAGTCTCTGAGATTCCAGGAAAGACCTCAGCAAATTTAGGAATGCCTTTGACTAAGAACTTAAAAATCAAAATTGAAAAGTTGACAGTACCACCTGCTATACTCATTGAAAAGAAGTCTGTCCCATCATCTACTTCTTCCTGTCATTCAACAACAGCAAGTCCACAGGATGTCAAACAAAATGACACCCTTACAACAGCAGCAATACCAAATACGGGTCTGAAACAACTTTCACCACATAAATCGGCCAACTTGAACACGGCAAAAAAATCTACGACATCTCTTTGTAAGAGCCAGGACTGTAAAACGGCGTCGAATGAGATAGTTATCGACCTTGACTCCTCATCTGATGCTGATGACAGTACAGAAGTGATCCCTAGTACACATCTAGGGATGCAAACGGCTCTGGTCCCACTTAGGACTCAGTTTCCCACCAGTACAGCTAATTCAAGTAATAGTGCCATGACCTCTACTCATCCTTCCTCTTCTCCAGGTAATATGGTAATGTCTTCACAAAATAGCATGCAGTTCAGCATGCAAGTGAAAACACAATATCAGCAACAGCAAAGTCAAGAGAGTTTCTCATTAAAGATAGCATCGGTTGCCTCCCTTGCCTATTCAATAAAGGATTCCAATAGTAACAGACAGTATTTCACTTCACAGCAAACAAATTATCAAAATCAAGGTTTCCACTTGACTTCTGGCAACAATTACAAACAAATTTCCAACAAACCAAGTTTGCCAGCTCCTCCTTCAAATAGTGTTATAGTTTTATCAGATTCAGATTAATTTTACTTTTAATAAAAAGTTGAGGGTGGGTGGGCTGAGTTAGGGATCTCGCCTATCTTTATCAGTTAGGTATTTTTGTTTTGTGATGGCTGGGGATTGGACCCTTATTTCATGACAATTTCAATCGGCTCCCCCTCCCTTTTCTTTTTCTTAACTATATGACATGCCAAAAAAAGAAATAAAATTTTACACAACTTTTTCTTTTCCAACTGATTTTTCCCCCTTCACTTTTCTTCATTTATTTTCTTTGCAAATATGTATTTCAGCTGATAATGAATGTGTGTTATTGTTTATAATTTTTCCCTCCCTTTACATTTTAACACTTGTATCTGCCTACCTCCACCTTAAAACTAACTCACTTTGGCTGGTTTTAAAAAGAAAGAGAAAAAAAAAGCGGTGGGGGTGGATAATTGCAGCCACAAGATAAAAAACCTGGGGGTGATATGTAAAGATGGTAAATAAATGATTATTTGCACAGACACACACATTACTAAAGATGTGCTATGTCTATTCAGTTGTATGACTGATGAACAGCTATGAAAGAAAGTTAAACTTCTTTTTTTTTTCTTTTTCTTTTTTTTTAATCTCTCAGCTAACTTATAGCAAAACAAGTCAGATTGAAGGAGGATGGTCATTAACATTTCCAAATTGATTGAAAGTTAATTTATCTTTACCAAATCAGTCTGACATTCTGTAAATGAATGAGCATCAAACTCTAAAAACCACAAAATTGACAATAAAACATAGTTCATAAGATTTTATCAATAATACAATTTTATCATCATAACCACGATTTAAGGATTGTAAAATGAGGATCTGGCTTTTTGCACTTAAATTATTGCTGTGTTAAATTATTTTTGCTTTATAAATCATTTAATTTCAAGACATTAAATTTTTTTAAATTTTTATGAAAGAAATGATACTCTTAAGATTTGAACAATGAATTCTTGAAACAGAAACTTACTGTATATTTTTAACTTTTTAATTAACCTGGATTCACTTTTTTTTTTCTTTTTTTTAAAGAAATAATATTTTTGAAGTTGAAGATCAATTATTACGGAAATGAATTATTGAAATTGGGTTTCATCTGATGTGTCCTTTGGTTTCTGTTGTGTAATATTTCTAGGTTTTCATGTCCTGCAGACACTTTCACTCCTTTTGTATTCAGAAAACATGGGATGATAACTCTTTTTCCTCTCCTTCCAGTTACAATTTCTCTCTTATTGGGTCCCCATATATGGAATTCTCTACTGGCCCAGATTAAGCAGATTTTTGTCAGGCTTATCTGCACATACCAGTAATGGTTGTTATTTAAATCTCCTTATAAAGAGTGCAATTTTTTTTTCCTCCTCAATTTACTCGTATTGTCTAGTGTTGTTAATAAAAATTTTGTGAACATTTATTTTCACAGTTATCTCTGAGCTTCAGTTTTTACTTTGGAAAATCACCTTCATGTAAGATTACCACAAATTCTTTACCTTCTTGGCTGTCCAACTGCTGTAAGAATTCCATGTCTATTGTTCAATTCATCATTCTGAGAGGCTTATAATTTTTCTCTAATGATGGCAGTAACAAGCTAATTTCCTTTCTGCAACAGAGATGGTTGGAGTTAAAATCTAAATACAACCCTTATGGATGTTAACATTCTATTTTCATATTCAAAGCCCACATGTGGGTGTGGAGGTAAGATGAACTCTATAGTTGATCTCAGAGAATTCAAAAATGATCCTCCAGTAAGGGCTCAAAATATAAAGTTGTCATTTACATATTTAAGATATTTCATCAGTTTCATTGTTTTTTTTGTTTTTTTTTTCTAAAAGAAGAAATTTGTTTTGAGATGGCAAATGTCTGCAAAGATCAGTGACCTGATAGCTAAGTCTTCTTCCTATCAATATATTTATCTTAACTGGAAGTATGACATCTATATACACAACGTTAGTAGAATCTGATCTAATGAAATAGTTTTTCACAAGTGTTGATAAATGACCTGAAAATAAGTTGATTATATTGACATGGGACTATAGAATGAGTCCAGCCTTGGGGAAAACAGTAGGCATGATAGCTTACTGTGGTTTTGCATCACTTGCTTCTAGCTGGGCTAGTTTTCTCTCTTGATTACTACCAAGATCCAGTTCAAGTTTATCCTGTTTTTCCATGTAGCTCTGATAAATTGCATCATTCTTGTTGGGGTGGGGGTCAGTTGGAGATGGGATTGCTATCCTTCCTCCCCCTCCCTTTCACTTTTTGTTTTGACCCTTCTTTCCTACTTGAAATGTAGATTGCTTTATGATTTCACATCAGCAAAATATAGCATTAACCTCTTAGATATTTAATACTTCCCCTGTCAAAATAAGAAGGCTCAAGATAATTTTTTTTAAGATATCTCAACAGTGGTTTGGGACATTATATCCAGATAAAGTATTCACTAGTTGATTGTGAAATGAAAACCTTTCTTAAATAATAAAAGGTGGTGTGTATGTTTGTTTTAATCTCTCTTGTCACAATATTTTCTCAGGTACTTGTTGTATTCTGGAATGTCAGTAAATTTTGTTCTCGTGGTGCACATGCATCTCACATTTCTTTGTCTGTGTCGTTGGTATTCTCTTTCTGACCTCTCGTCTCCTTAGACCCTGTGTAATCCAAAGTTTATTGTTTGTTCTTTCCTTATTGATGCTTCTTACAAGCTAGAAATGTCTACATATACTTTGCTGATTAAGTTAACTATGTGCACACATTGGCCAATGTTGCTTCCGTAGTTTTTCATTCCATAAAGGTCAGTATTTCTCCTTCCACTCAGTCAGTCATATCTCATCACATTATTTAAATTTTTTTTTTTTTTTTTTTGCTGTTCCTCTCTTAAGTGCCTGTTGGTTTTGCAATCTCTCTCACAACCGCATAAAATGTTATACATACAGTTCTTGGTCTAGTTTTCTTTTATTGATGTAATATTTGCAAAGCATGAGGTTGCTTTTGAATTATGCTTTAATGTATAGACCACATTTTCTCTGTAACACTTATGTTGTCATAGCCTTTCTTTTCCCCCTCCTTTCCATTGTCTAATTTTATTTGAATCAGGAATGATTCTACCAGTTTTTAGACAGTTTTTTTATGGAATTAATATGGATAGTTATCCTTGTCCAGAACACTTCCTATTTGAATATTTAAATTAGTTGGAATTAGCTTTTGTTCTTACCATTTCTCAAGAAATAGTAGGTGGCTAGATATTTGGGTTAATTTATGGTGGAACTTTCCTATTTGTCTCCATTTCCAGGTCACATTTTTGGTCTTTACTGGTTCAAAAGTTCTTGCCTGAGCAAATGTGTTCAGTAATTTTTTTTTTCCTCCCAATTATAAAATTGAAAACTGCAAAAGAAATTTCTTTGTACAAATTAAATTCAGAATTCCCACTTCTCTTGTGCAGAACTTTTTCAAAAAATAAAGACTTTGAATAGAAAAGTTTCATTAAAAAATATTTATATATGTATATTATAAAAACATCAACTGAATTTCAATTTAATGGTTGTCAAAAAGGAAAAGTTTGAACGGCTTGTTTACTTCGATGAAAAGAGGTTTACCTGAAAATAGTCTCCCATGAGAAAGAAGAAACAAAATAAAATCAAACCAAGATCACTTGTTTTTTGCTTTGATCTTCTATTCAACAAGTTAGCAATGTCACTTTAAAAATCTGTATGGACATGACACACTACTGTAAAATCAAATTTTAATATAGTCAAATTGGTATATTTTTACCACCCGATGTGAGGAAGTTACTTTCTCATTATCTTTTTCTCCATCTTGTTTTTTCATTGCAGCATTTTATCAGGAACCTCCACTAATTCAATATAGATTTTCAATACCTAAGGTTTAAAATGAATTTTTAAAAATGAAAACTCATTCTTGAAGATTTTTTAACTTTAATTGAAAGCTAAAGTATTAAATTTACTATTTATAGTAAGCAAAATATTCTGGTGTATTTCAAATAGAAATTATATAGATTTGAATGACAAATTTGTTTGTCAAAAAGTCTATTTACTGGTGGCTATTTACATTTTAACAAGTTTTAAAAACCTTCCGAAAAGAAAATATATATTTGAGTAAAATTAGCAAATTTGAAGTTAATTAATCTGATTTGAAACAAATATTACTTATAGCATAAAAAATAGTATACAAGCATGTTCTTAACAATGGGTCCTGTTTTTTTTTTTTTTCGTGTCTTTATTGACATTATCAATGAGCTACAAAGTGTTGACAGCTAGTATGGATGACATAAATTTATGAAATGTCTTAAATTAATTTTAAAATTTAATGACTGAGATATTAATGAAATACCATGATAAAGGTAACTCAATAATATATGAATTGTTATGGCATTTTATTTATTACTTATTTATATTTTTTAATTTTTTTTTAAAGTTGTGTCATTCACAAACATGCAATGAATAACAAATTTCTCTGCAAATGGAGGACAACTCTTGCAACACCTGACCTTTTAATAATGTTTATAGATTTCCATAGATGCAAAATGTGAATTTTTAAACTAAAAGTGATTTTAAAAATCGTGCAAAACAACTAATATTAAGCTTTTCATTTTTTGATTTGTATATATAGTTTCCACTTGATTACAATATCACCTAAAAAGTAATGCACAATTTTAAACTATTTTTAAATTATTGTAATTAAAATTTAAAATAAATAAATTTTTACCAAGATTTTCTAAAACATTTAAAACTTAATTTCATTCAATTGTGAATAAGCCCTGAAAGTTTCATTAAAATCTGACAATTATCTGATTTTTACAAGAATTTCCAATTTGATGTTTTTTGCTGCAAAAAAAGGTGGGGTAAAAAAAATTACATCTCTCACTGACGTTAAAAAAAAAAATGGTTTGGTCTTTCCCCTTAACAAACCTTTTGGCAATAAAACTTGTCTTTTTAATAAGTTTGGGGCCTTTTGTCATAATCCTATACTGTTTGAAATAAAAACGAGCCTCAATAAAGATTTAAGCTTTTATCAGTCATCTTCCAAATTAAACATTAGAATCTTATTTTTAAAAGCTGCTACTGAGGAAGGGCCATTGAATTATTGAGGGGAAAAACTGATAATCATGAAGAATAAGGCTGATGGATAGCACAAACAATATAACTTGGAAGAAAGGGATAACTGTTTTAATTGAAAAAAGTAATTAAATTTCTTATCCAGGAAAGATAGAGCAACCATCTGGTTTCACTTAAGAATCGAGATAATGTTTTTATGACCATTGTCAGTGAAGTGGACGAACAGACCCCTGGCTGCGATCTCGGCCAATGGATAAGTATTAGTTTTTGGAAGTAGAGGGGTTTCCAGCAGAAAATAGATAAAAGAATGATATTTAAATTTTTTATCTGCCAAAACAATAAAACTTCCCCAAATCTAGGAATTGCTCCTTTTTTGCCAATTCTTGATAAAAAAAAAAAAAAGGCAATAAGATAGAAAACGACAGATTCCAGATGCAAAAAGGACCACACATGAAAGCACAATAAAGAATTTTGAATAATTAAAAATTTCACCATAGGACTGGATCACACCGGGCCCTCAGGGGACGGATTTGGTCAGTTGACCAAGGAGGAAAGGGCCCAGATGTAATTTCAGGGAAGGCGGAGAGCTTTCCACCCTTCGTTCGGTGAGGGTGAGAGGCACTCATACAAAGCAGGAAGCAGACAGATTTGACCAGGTGACCAAAAGGAGTTATGGGGCAGATTAATGCCTGTGACTGTCACCCATGGAAGAGGGGAATCTCCCAAATTAAGAAGGAATTAATTTTCAGAACCCAGACAATGGAAAAAGGGTTCTTTGTGATACTTAGAGAAAATACTGAATACCCAACCACATCATGCCCCTACACCGGTTTTGGGTGAATGTCAATAAATATGAAGCCAGAAGAGCAGATTGTTCCAGCCACTGGACAAGAGACACTCCAAGTGACTGCCTACCAAAGACAACCTCCAACATCAGCCTTGTGCCAAACTTCACCGAGTTAGCAAAGTGTTATGTCTAACTTAAGAAGCAGGTTGGGTGAATAAATGTCCACATGTGAAATGCTAGATTTAGACAACCAGCTAAGCAGATATTGTACTAAGAACCAGCTATAAACATTTATTTTTTTTATTCAAATTATTTCCTTTTTATGTGTCTTCATTCTGCTTGGACCAGCCCAATACGAAGATACCTGATGACGATTTTATCCTGGCCAAACTTATGATCAAAATAATCATGTGGGATAAGGTGAGGCCTGGATTGAAGTAATCATCTTATTGAGCAGCCGTGGGTAACGGACCTTTGGATGACCAGGAGGAACTTGAGGACATCCTAATGAAGAGCTCATTCAAACAATTACCATGAAAGTATTTGTAGAAAAAGTACAGGGAGACAAATTTATGGCAGTGGAAAAGTGACTGAAGCAGTGATACCAGATCAGGACCAATAATATTGCTGATTCTTTGGATTTTATCAAGAATCTCTAAATAAATAGTAAGACAACCAGACAATATGTAACAGCAAAATTCTAAGTATGGGCAAATGATAGACATATAGATACGTAATATAGCATCTTGGAAAGAAAAATTGTCTAGTATGACAGTGAACCAACTTTCTTAGCAGCTAACCTAGCAATGGATTTAATTTTGTCTTTCCACTTAATGTTAGCCGAAGAAGGTGCAATGAATCACTCTGCTGATGGAAGGCTGAAAGGTTTTTCTAAGATGATTGATAGAGAGCAGCTTAGTTTTGGAGGCATTAAAATTAACAAGCCATTCTTTGCCCCAGTTAGCAACAGATGGTAGGTCGTTTTTAACATCAGCCACCAATATGACCTCATCAAATTGATCAGACTTACTATCAAGATGAGTAAATAATTGTGTCATCATAGATACCAAGTTGAGAGCTGATGCCATCAGGAAGGTCATTAATGAAAATCAAAAACAAAACAGGGCATTGGGAGACACTTGCATTAAAATGAAAGAGTGGCTGTTTGTTTTGTGATTTGATAATAAAGACTGGATCAGTTCAAAAAAACTTGTGAAGAAGACCTGTATGCCAAACCATGTCAAAAACTTTCGAGATGTCCAAAGCTACAACCCAGGCTTTGCTTTTTTTATCTAGAGCTTGACAGACTTTTTCCATGGTTGTCATCAGTACATCAACAGTTGACCTGGAAAAATGTAAGTGACATTGCTTGTCTGAAAAAAGGCCCTGAGATTTTAGATGCTTAAACAATTCCACATTGATTAGGGCCTCTAGAAG